GAGTCACAGCTGAGTGATGGCTGATAATACTGGTTGTGATCACTGACTGTTGAAAAATAGTGTATTTAATGAGGTTAGATATATGCAAGACATAAAAAAGGAAAGAATATCTCTGTCACAGAAGTCAAACTAAAAATTCTCTTCACTATTTGATTTGTATATTAAAGAAGTGTCATCTTAGGAGTCAGGAGAGCCAAGAGCTGGATTTTCGTGGTTATGTGTCACTCTAGCTTTGTGACCTTGAAGATGCCAAATGATATTTCTGGGCTTCAGTTTACTCATGTAAAACTAATTATAATATCTACATAGTGTAAAGGAAAATTTTATCCAAATTAAACACAGATTGGGCTGGAGATGGTGGTGATAGAGGGTGATAGTTGTGGCGGGGGGGGCGGTGGTGTTGAATGAATGGATTACTCTAAATTGCTTCTGGACCTCAAACTCCATTATGCTAGGAATCTGTGATCTATGGGGACTATATCCGATATCAACACATTGATTTAGCTGCTTAATTCAGCAAGTTTCAATGCCTTACATAGGTTCTTTTAGAAAACGATTAAAAACCCCCCTAAATTTCAGACAGGTTTACTTAGGTTTGTGGTAGTACATGAAACTCACAAGGCTGATTCCAGAAATTTTAGTGAAAACACATTTCCTGCTTTTATGTTCATATCATGTAGGTGTGTATTGGTATTTAGAGAAATGATAGAAGTACAGTCACAGTGAGGATGTTAAGTCCTCCTTTATCTTAAGTTGTTATCATAGACCCAGCTGCAGAGATGATACAGGATTTTTTGTTCTTATGTAAGTGTTCTTTTTAAATAAAACAAAATTTTAAACTATTAGTTGGAAGCTTGCCACAAACTAATAAAACAATTAGAATTAACATCTTTTAAAAAATGAATTACCCAATAGCCTAAAGGTAAATAACATCTTTGGTTATTAGTAAAAAGAATAAGATAGATACTAACCCTGCTACTGTGCTGATTACCAAACAATTCAGGAGAGATTAAGTGATTTCACCCAAGTTTTCTAGGTAAGTGCCTCAGTTATTCACTTAAATTGTCCAAGAGGCACCTGTACTCTTGTAATAAAGTACTTACCTATGTGGTAACTCACATCTTCTAGGTCATTAATTCAGATGTAACAAATTCTTCCTGGCTGTTCAGTAATGTGCTATGAGGCAGAAAAAAAATGCACCTATCCCAATTGTTGGACAGTTTGTTTCTATGGAGGAATTAAACTCTGAGTTTATGTTGGCAGCTCTGTCGTAGCCATAATTTCATACCCCACCTGGTTGTAATGGAAAGTTCCACTTATAAATGCTATTTGTATCATTAAACTAAACATGAAACTTAATTCAGCCTTCCTGATCATAACCTTGTAGCCAAGAATGTAATTTATTTTTCTGAATATCTGGACTTCTGTAATAGTTGCCAATGAACAGACTTTTGAAGTACTCACTGATTAAACCATAAGTAACAATGACCTATTAAAATGACCGTCTTTTTATTTTCTCTGATGACTTTGAAAAGCATTTGGCCCGATAAAGCAGCTGTATTTGAAGATTCTCTTGGTTTCACGTTTTAGTGGAATCATTGTGTTAATTAGTGTTAAGCAGCACATTAAATTTCTCAGAGCGGTCAGGACTAATTCAGTGTCTGTTTAGGCTCTTTATGTACAAAGCATGTTCTAGGCACTGTGAGGACACGTAGTAGACTGGCCCTCAAGAAACAAGGTATTACTCATAAGAAAAAAAATACATAATGGAAAAACTGCACCAAAATGGCATGTGACTGGTTGTTAAGTGAATGATACAGATATTATTTTATTCCAGTGACAACTAGCCTTTAAGCTTCAAATTTATTAAATGCTAACTCTGCATAAAAATATTTCAGGAAAATTAAATTAACCTATAATTGCAAAGGCAAAAATTCAAATGGCCTACCATAGTATATTTACATTTGCAGTATATTTGTGATTTTATACTGTGCTTCATTATTTAGTTTTAAGCTTTTTAAAATAACCTTCTGTTATGAGTATGTGCTAAATGAAGGAATCCTTTGATTATTATCAGTTGTTGATCAATGCTGAGCATTCAAAATGGAGAAATATCTTTATTGCAGATACCAATAATTATAGATGCTTTTCATAATAGCTATGAAAATATATAATAAAGTAGATAATAGTATAAATAGTAGATAACAGTATATCAAAATAGATAAAAAGTAGTATATCAAGATATAAGAAGTAGATAATAGTATATAAAAATCACTATCCACTAGGCAATTAGAAAGGAAAAATAAAGGAAAGGCATTCATATTGGAAAGGAAGAAGTAAAACTTCTCTATTAGAACATAGCATGATCTTATTGTAGAAAATCCTAAAGAATCCACACACAAAAAAACTATTAGAATTAATAAATGAGTTCAGCAAGATTGTGGAATATAAGATCAATGTAGAAAAATCAGTTGTCAATAATCAGTCCAAAATGAAACTAAGAGAAGAATTCTATTTGTAACGATATCAAAAAGAACAAATTCAGCAAAGCAGTATAAGGCATGAACAATGAAAATAAAACATCAAAGAAATGAATTAAAGGAGAACTAAATAAGTAGGAAGACATCCATGTTCATGGATGGGAAGCCAATGTTGTTAAGGTGGCTGTCGTAATCAAATTTATCTACAGATTCAATGCAGTCCTTATCATAATCTCAACTACTTTTTTGGGCGGATATTAGCAAGCTGACCCTAAAGTTCACATGGAAATGCAAAGGACACAGAGTAGCCAAAAACAAGGAAATGCAAAGGACACAGAGTCGCCAAAAACAATCTTGAAAAAGAACAAAACTGGAGGGACTTACCCTTCCCTTCCCAGTTTCAAAACTTATAACAAAGCTATAACACTGTGTGGTACTGACCTGAGGATAAACATATAGATTAAGAGGATAGAATTGAGAATCCAGAAATAATAATGACCTCAAATACACTTATGAATTTTTGACAAGGGTACTAAACGGCCAAGTGGGGAAAGCATAGGAAGAGTAGTCTTTTCAACAAATGGTGCTGTGACAATTGGATATTTGCATGCAAAAGAATGAAGTTAGACAACTAACTCACACCACACACAAAAGTAACTTAAAATAGATCAAATACCTAAATGTTAGAAATAAAACTGTAAAACCCTCAGGAGGAAATATAAATGTATATCTTTACGATCTTAGATTAGGCAATAGTTTCTTAGATAGGACAACAACCAAAGAAAATTTAGATAAATTGGACTCAGTCAAAATGAAAAACTGTGCTTCAAAGGACACCATAAAGAAAATGAAAAGACAATTCACAGGATGGGAGAAAATATTTGCAGATTATGTGTTTGCGAATCCAGAATGTATATACAGAACTCTTAAAATGAAATAATAAAAAGACAATTTGTAAATGGATGATGGGTTTGAATAGACATTTCTCCAAAGAAAATATACAAATGGCCAATAAGCACATGAAAAAATTCTCAACATCATTAGTCGTAGGGAAATGCAAATCAAAATCACAATGAGATACCACTTCACAGTCAGGAGGATGGGTATAATAAACAACCAAAAAGACAGTAACAGGTCAGGTGTGGTGACTCATGCCTGTAATCCCAGCACTTTGCGAGGCCGAGGCCAGCAGATTGCTTGAGCTCAGGAATTTGAGACCAGCTTGGGCAACATGATGAAACCCTATCTCTACCAAAAAAAATTTACAAAATTAGCCAATCATGGTGGTGTGTGCCTTTAGTCCCAGCTACTTGGGAAGCTAAGGTGGGAGGATCACATGAGCCCAGGAGACAGACGTTGCAGTGAGCCCAGGATCATGCCAGTGCACTCTAGCCTGGGCAAGAGCCTGTCTTAAAAAAAATATATATATATATATATATCAATAACAAGTGTTGGCAAGGATGTGCAGAAATTAGAACCCTCATATGTTGTTGGTAGGAATATAAAATAGTACAGCTGTATTGAAAATGGTTTAGCAGTCCTTCAAAAAAATTAAACATAGGGTTACCATATGATCCAGCAATTCCACTCCTAGGTATATACCCAAGAGAATCAGAAACATGTCCACACAAAAATTCATACATAAATATGCATAGCAGCATTATTTATAGTGGCCAAAAAGTGGAAACAATCCACTTGTCCATCAGCTGACAAGTGTATAAACAAAATATGGTATATCGATACAATGTGATATTAATATTATTATATCCATAGAAAGGAATGAAGTATTGTCTCATACTACAACAATGGAGGAGCCTGGAAAGACTTTATTCTGAGTAAAAGAAGCCAGATACAAAAGGCTACATACTGTGTGATTCCATTTATAGGAAATGTCCAGACTCCTATAGGCAAAACCATAGAGACAGAAAGTATATCAGTGGTTTCCAGGGTCCAGGGGCAATGGTGAAAATGGAAAGTGACTGCAAATGGGTGCAGGGTTTCTTTTGGGGCTGATGAAATCACGTTCTGGAATTAGATAGCTGTGACGATTGCAAACTTTGTGAATATAGTAAATGCTATCAAAGTGTGCATTTGTAAAGAGTAAATTTTATAGTGAATTACATCTCAGTTTTGAAAATTACCTTATTTGTTCTTGATCACACTATAAATTAAGGTGTTCTCATAAAGCATAAGCTTGCAAAAAATATTGTCATTAAGGAGCATATTTATGTATTTTGTTTTTAAAAAGAAACAAAACAAGTTTGATAATCAATCTTAGAGACTGCATGAAATTTCACCAGTGCAGAGAGATAACAAGACCAACATTTCTCTCATTATGTCATGAAGATAAATATAGTTTATCACTTCTGGTGAACTGATGTACATCCTTTTTATTAACCTGATTATAGGCCTTTTTCACTCAGATTTATTATATCAAACTGATTATTCTGAAATTGAGGGAAGAATCATAAGTATTTCCATACAGACGTTTCATGTTTCTTCTCTTGTTGTTTTTTCCAGGTACTGCCTTTCCCAAGCCAGGTGGTGTACAACAGAGTAGGCAAGTGTGGGAGCCGTACTGTGGTCTTGCTTCTGAGAATCCTGTCGGAGAAGCACGGATTTAATTTGGTCACATCAGACATTCACAACAAAACCAGGCTTACTAAAAATGAACAAGTAAGTTAACTTTGCCCATTGTTGAACTGTATTTTGCTTCAGCTCATTTGTGTAACTAATGGGTGCCTTGCAGGTCATTCTTCAGACTCCTGATGAATGAATACCAGAGTTTTGATTTCATGCTGTATTTTGGCCAGAGTGTGGAAGGAAATTTAAGTTAAGGCTTCCACAAGAACTCTATAAACCAGGGAATTTCCGTGAAGGGATACTTCCATTAGGACTGATGAAGGACTGTGTGTACTTGCCTTTGTCTAGTTAGCTAAAATTAGCAATATATACATCTCAAAGAGTCACACCACCAAGCTATAAATAATGCTGACATCTTCACCGTCAAAATGAGAAGATTTTATTTTAATATTCTTCCTTCTGCATTTTCTCACCAGTGTCCAGAATCTTTATGGTTAAATTAGTTGATGGGGGACATGAGCTTCCTGCTATGGGAAACTCAGAGGATCTTAGGCTTTGAGAGCAGCACTTGGAATATTCAGTGGTAGGAAAAGAATTACCCCACATCACAGGAACAGTTCTGCCCTAATGTAGCTGAGTTGTACAAGTGGACGTGCTAATGGTAGGATGGGAGTGCTATCCTCTACCAAGAAGCTGTGAAGGTTTACTTTGCAAACCTGTACAGAGGTAGGGGCAACAGTCTCTGTGGGGCTGCTCTGCTAATGTGGAAAAGTCAGATAGAGTGTTCTCATGGTCATTTTACAGAGTTAGGTTTGTCATCCTGGTCTCAGAAACTGGCTTCTGTCTCCTTACCTACATAGGACGAGCGGTCACCCAATGAGTGGTACTTGCATGTTGGGAAGAAACACGGAACATGTCTAACGATCTAGTTGAGATCATCATTATAAAAATTTCCTCACACCTGTAATCCCAGCACTGTGGGAGGCCAAGGATCGAGATCCAGACCAGGATCGAGACCATCCTGGCCAACATGGTGAAACCGCATCTCTACTAAAAATACGAAAAAATTAGCTGGGCATGGTGGCACCTGCCTGTAATCCCAGTAACTCGGGAGGCTGAGGTAGGAGAATCACTGGAATCCGGGAGGCAGAGGTTGCAGTGAGCCAAGATTGCACCACTGCACTCTAGCCTGACAACAGAGTGAGACTCTGTCTCAATAAATAAATAATAAATAAGTAAATAAAATAATAAATAAATAAAAAATTTCCACCCATGTCCATTTTCTTTGGACATACTCTCCAGCTTTGAGACATTCAGAACCTCACAAATGGAGAGAATCTCATTCTTAATTTACCAATTGTGTATTTCCATTTTATCTTGGGGAAAAGTAGAACTGTTTTAAGACAGTAACATAGCCAACCACACTTGTTCTGAAGCCACTATGTTTTGTGTCTTTTATAAGACAGAGATCAAATTGCCCACTACTTTGCAAACTTCCATTAAAGAATCACTCAGTATCAAGTTTAAATAGCCATTATCGGCACCAATAGTTAGAGTCATTACCAATCAGCAAAATATATTTTAAGGTTATACCTTGTAAGTTCCACAGTAGGGTCTCCGTAGAAAAGAATGATCTTTGGTGGCATTTAAGGATATTGCATTTTATGTGTAACATTGTTTAGTAGGGGCAGGTTCTCTTTGATTACCTTACTTGATTGAAGAGCTAATGTGATTAGGCTGGTGATGCCTTTTAACTGCCTGAAAGAAAAGAATTATAAATAAATACATTATTGTGATTTTATTATAATTGTTAAATTTGGTTTTCTTTTGAATCTAACTCTTTTGGCTTGCATATCTATTGGATTACACGTAAATATAATATAATGATACTCAGTTCCCAGATGCCTCACAAAACACAGTTGCTAGTTTATTTTAGTTCCCACTTCAGGATAGAGAACAGACTACCCACAGAGAGTAGGACAAAAGTAACTTAAGGATTAGACATTGGGATGTTCAGGAATGCTTAGAAGAAAGAGCACAAAGTACAGTATTTAAATGTGCCATGGGATTTTATAGAGATCAACCTACTTTGTTTCCTATGAGGAGCAAACATGAAAAAGTAAAATACACTTGTAACTATGAATGGAATAATTTAGATCAAAAATTAACAGCAATTTACTAACCATGTGTAGATTGTTAGATCCAGAAAGGGTTAAAGACAAAGTCATCCTTCTCTTCCAAAATATAGGCTAGCTCTCATCTGTTTGGAATGGTTGGCTTGTCTGGAAGCCAGAGAAGAGACTAGACAGTCTTTTAAGATTCTTTCCAGCCCTGTGATTCTGTGATATATTTGTACAGCTTCTAGCATAATCTGTGTATTGTGTAGTTGAAACATTTCTGATTCCTGTGGTCAAAGTGACCTAGAATATATTTCATTACTTCGTTATTCTAGATTTCTATTAAATTGTAAGGCAGTTTTAAAAACACATGGCAAAGGTAAAGATAAGGTAGAAAAAACAAATATATAATTTTAATGTGAAAACAAACATAATCACAGTGACCATTACCTCTCTGCAGCCAGTTTGTCTGGCTGTGGCATGCAGAGAGAGAAGCCAGGAAATAAAAGGACAAGAAACCCAGTTTGAAGTTCAACAACATTTAGAGAAACACTTTTTTTGGTCCATATATTGTTTTTATTAAAGTTTCAATGTGCATAAAACAGAAAAAATATTATTTTAATATATATTCAAGAAATAATTTGTGGTATGAATAGCTCCTTTTTTGCTAATTTATTAGAGGAACGCAAGGGGAAATGGTTTAGAAGACTAGTGGAAATTTTAGTCAGTTGTTCTCACCTATAAACAGTAGAATTCTGAAAATTTGTTCCCATAGAATCATCATCCTCTAGAGTTAATAACAATTCCGCTTCAGGTGCAGTATGACTTAAACAGGCTCTTGTGGGCTGGCCTGGGACTTTATCCACTGTGCAGAGAGTTTCTTTTATGGGAGAAAATATGCTCCAAGTTCCAAACTACTGACTTAAAAATGAACTTTGGAGTAGTATCCATTTCTAAGACTGAATTATCTATTCCATTTCATTCATACAAAAAGGGACCTCTCTAGGCCACAGTCACATTCACACATGCATTGCTGTCTCGAGGGCAGCCGTGATCACACAAACACACACACACACACACACACACACACAGAGAGAGCTAAATTTTTAAAATCTATTAAATGGAACAAGACACTGAAGGGATTATTAAAAAGGAAAGGGAGTGTGAAGACACCAAATGTTAGAATGCCTATAAAAATCCCACTACATCTGTCCTTATAGAAATAGAAATACCTTTGAAGTTCATATTTTGGAAGACTCCGCCTCAACAGCACAGCATGGGCAATGGCTGCTGACGAAGCGTTGGACTTTCGCACGGCTCATCGTGCAAACCTGTGATATCATTGCACTGATGCTCTAAAACCAGATTTCAGGGTCTTAAGCTGGCTTAAATTATCTCTTGAAAAATGGAGATTATATACAGCTTTGAAAAATAGGAAAGTTTTTTCCCCAGAAGACGTGGCGCGTGATTGCCAAAAAAACACATAACCATCTTTGGTCAAGACGTGACACCATCTTTCTGAGCATTGCTGTAAATACAATAAAGGTCAACATACTGCAGGTGTATTACAGCTATGAGAATCCACAATTAATTGCATTCTCTTTAAAGAAAAGCAAAAGTTAACCAGCATATTGAGAAGGCACATAATTCTACTCTTTCTATTTCTGTTGAAACTGAGGATTACGGATTAGATATAGCACCTATTATTTGCTAATTGTTTTCCTTCATTGTTTCGTTGAAATTTTTGGACCTAAAAATATACTACTGAGTGGATATGATTCCCTGTTTTATGGGTGAGACACCTAAGACAATCAGATTGTAACTTTCCAAATACATTATAATGACTGTCAGTGGCTCTTGGCCTTGAACCTAGGCCTTCCTTAATCCAAAAGCCATTCTCATCATGCAGTGTTTATCTCCTCTGGCTGGACAGCAGAATCTCAGCAGAGCCTTTTAAAACCTAGAGTTGCAATGGCCCTTCTCCTGGAGATTCTGGGGTAGGGCCCAGAAAACTTTTTCTTTAATGAAGTGCCACAAGAGATTTTATGATGCAGCTAGGGTTAAGAAGCTCTGTTGAAATCATCATATCAGCATTGCCCTAGGTATGTTCCTGAGAATCCTAGTCCTCTAAGACATTGAAAGAAAGAAAATATTACGGTTCAATAAATTTGGCAAATGTTGCGTGCCTGGTCCCGAACGAATCAATTCACAATGATTATTTGCATTTTAAAGACTTGGAAAATTAAAAACAAAACTGCAAACAAAACAATTTAACTGGGTTTCACCTAGCGTTTTTGCGGTCTTCGTTGGTCAGGGGACTCTTTATGAGTGTTTGTGACTGATTTGCACTCCGCAGAACTCCAATTCACAGTCTGTGAAATACTAGGCAAGTCCACATCCTCCCACCAGTTGTAACAGTAAAGGCCACTATATCACTATAAACGTCACATCTGTTCTGACTCTCCAACAGCTATTCAAATTATTAAAGCCTTGAAGAGTTATGTAAAGGTGGAGAAGAGAGAGATCTTACGTCCATGTGTCATAGATAGCTTTAGCTTCTTGATCAAAACAATATTTCTTTACAATATTTTAAACTTCCCTCTCCTATTGCTCTTGCCCACTGCAAGTTTCAAGTCTGAATGGTGGCTAGAAATCAATGAGACTTAGGGGGAAACAGAAAACTTAAGTCACCTAAAGAAACCGTGTGAAGTTTGTAAAAGTCTACAGGCTGCAGGGATCCCTAAGGCATGGTTAATCAGACCTCTGTTTAATCAAGAGATGGGCCAGGCATGGTGGCTGACGCCTGTAATCCCAGCACTTTGGGAGGCCGAGGCGGGTGGATCACTTGAGGCCAGGAGTTCAAGACCAGGCTGGCCAATGTGGTGAAACCCTGTCTCTACTAAAGATACAAAAATTAGACAGGCATAGTGGTGCACACCTGTAATCCCAGCTACTCAGGAGGCTGAGGCAGGCAAA